CTCGGCCTTGGCCGCCGCAACACTCCGCTCGCGACCAAGGGTCGCGGCCACCCTGCCCAACTCACTGCGTGGAGTCTTGGTAGTGGCGGGGGCCGCCTGGGCAACCTAGAAAAGAAAGAAAAACGAGTTAGTCGACGTCTGGGAACCAAGGTCTGTGTCTCACCTTAGCCACTGGGGTCGGGGTAGTCGTCGCTCGCGGGGCGCTCGCCTTGCGACTGGCCTCCACCTTTGGCACCGGTTGGGGGGGCACGGACTTGGTCGACTTGGACGATCCGTCCGCGACCTTCTTGATTGGCTAAAAAGCTGGATTAAGGGGCGTGGTCTGGGAAAAAGGAGTCGGCTTACCCTGGGCTTGACGCGGGTCTCGCTGACCTGCTTCTTGGCCACGACGAAATCGCCGGTCTCCTCCCCACTTTCGGAAGTGTCGTCCATGACGATAACGGACGGGGCTACGAAAGTATGAGTAATCGACAGAGGGGGCAAGAGGAAGAACGCACTCAAATTCGATCGCGCTTTCCCCTTGGACTTGGGCCCCTGTCAAAAACAAACCAACCATGAGACGAAGGAATCGCGATCGACGAACTGGGTCACTTACCTGAAGGGCCAGCTCGTCGGCCGATGACGCGTCTCCCTCCTGGACCCCCTCGTCGTCGACATCCATCGCAGTGTCGGCGACGGCGACGGCTTCCTCATCGCTGAGGGACTCGGGTTGCACGGGCTGTGCTTGGATCCGGGCTGGGAGGGACCAGGTGGTTAGTCTAAAGATCAATGAAATAAGACATAGGATTACACACCTACGTGCGTCTTCTTGTGAACGCGCTTGGGAAGTGACCCCTGTGGAATAGGGACCGAGGTAGCGGCTACGACAAGTCAGTACCCGCGACTCTGGTGAATGAAAGGAAAGAGCGACTTACGAGTAGGCGCGTGGGACGACGCCTTGGGCTCCTTTGCAGGAGTCGCCTTGGGTCGCTTCCCCTGCGACTTCTCGCTCGACTTCTTGGCGACGGCGACCTTGCTGCCCGCGACGGCGGCAGGGGCCTGCGGCTTGGAGCCGTCACCCTTCCCCTTCTGCTTGGCAGGCCGGGACGACGAAGGGGCGGCGACTTGTTCGGTTGGAGCCGCCTAGGGGTCGATCAGAACATAGTAAACGAATGAAACAGATTACACGTACGGGTTCGACGACTCGTTTGCGTTTCTTGGGCGGCGACGACTCCTCGACTGGAGCGTTGGTGGTCAAGGGCGTAGACGCCGGCTAGTCCTTACGTGAGTGAAAAGAAGGAAGGCCAAAGCGAACAGGCGCGGCAATCATTGATCGCCGTGACTGCTCGCTCCAGCGGGCTTAGAACGGAGCTCACCTGCTGGATCTGGCGGACGTCGACGGCCATCTGCCGCAACATCATGTTGTAGGCCTCAGGGTTAGGCAGGTGGTGAGTTGGATCGACAAGCCATGGGAGAGACATTGACTAACGGCATGAACTGCCGCCAGTCGATGGCAGGCAGGTTTGCTCCCGGGACAGCTGATTCGGTGACGGCTGATGGACGGTTAGCGTGGTTGAAAAGTCGCGGTAATCGCCTTGGGCGTCACTCACGGTTGGTGTCTTGGGGGCGGGGGCTCTGGTCGGGCGCGGACATGGTGGTCAAAAGGCAAGAGTGTCTCGTACTAGGGAGACTCTCGACCCTGAAAATTGAGGGCATTTATATGGTGAACATGCCGGAAGAAGTTTGATCGCGGCAGATCACGGAAGGAACCGAACAACCAAATGAATAAGACGTGGGAACATAACTCTATGACTCCGCGGCTTTAATAATAACTGAATGAGACGTCGACTGTTGGACTTAGACCTGACGCAGTGAGACTGTCGCGGGATTGACCAGGAGGTCAAAATTAGTGTTCCTGGGAGATGATAGGCTGGCTACCAGACGCGCTCTGCACCAGCTCTGTAAGGGCGTATTTTTGCGCTTTTTACAGAGTTTACTCTTGAACCATTCGGTGTATCGTGTCGCGGTTGACAGTGTTGCGCTCAGTAGGACTTAAGGGTCTACTGCCCAGTCGACGACTGTGGATAGTGTCGACGATAGCAAGGCAGTCAGACCACTACTGTGGAACTGGTCTTATGGGTCTACACCAGGCTCAGGGCCATTAGTGACGAACGCTTGGACCGCGACCATTCCCCAAAAAGGGATCTGTCGTTGCGTCGACTTCTCGAAAAGGGTCATTCTCTGCAGATGGGAACTTGGGCTGAAGGGCTGAGCAATGCGCGACGTTCTCAATAATAGAACTATTACTGGACAGGACTTGGCGTTACGAGACTTAAACCATCTTGTCGCGGCAACTCCCGGTTTTGAGTTGGACGTTTCCTCAGATCATGCCACGACGACGACTTGTCACATGTCAGGATCCATTCGATCACGGGACATTGTGGACGCGTCGCGGTGACACTTCCAAGTGTCACGGCGAGTCGCGTCCATACCCAAACACACTAGAAACCGACACGGCTAGATCCGTGAACCGAACCATGTGGGGGACGACTGGTGTGCCTAGGGCCATACGGCTTCTTGGGGCGCCCACGTTGGTCTCACTTGCCAAGACATACCCGTTGGCCAATCCAACACGTCGTATTCCAAAAGTATGACGCGGTGGGTTGACCCACATCAAAAGTATCATATGGACAATGGGGCGGGGTCCTGATCACTCAGGACCTGTCCGATCGTTCAACTTTTCAATTACCCTAAAAGGCAACCGATCTTAGATAGCGTAGCTACTATGCAGTTGTACAGGACTTTACTAAGCAGCGTCGTAGACAGTATAAGTAGCACGTCGTTTCTTTGTATTGGGGAGCTTTCCCCCGGACTGTGAATCACTCTCATTTCAGATTGTTTTGTACAATTTGCGTGCCGCGTGATTCCACCCTAAGAAGTTCTGCTACCCCTGCCCGGTCGCGACGAGTTGCTCCCTGAGCACTTGTAGCTACTGTGATTTGAGTTTGAGTTGAGACATCAGAAAGTCGGATTCGCCGCATCTGGTTTAGTCGCGGCATTTAGTGTCGTCGCCTTCGGGCTTTGTTGAGATCGTTCCACACCTCTAGCTTGGCAGTGCGTCGACTAGTTGTGCTCGGGTTGTTTTGGTCAGTTGGCAGTGCGTCGACTTGAGAACTTTGGTTCCACACTTCTTGCTTGGCAGTGCATCGACAAGTTGTGCTCGGGTTTTGGACATTGGATATTGGCTGTTAGTTGGCAGTGCGTCGACGCGGCATTTTGGTTTACTAGTTGGCAGTGCGTCGACTCAGTACTTTTGGTTTTGTCAGTTGGCAGTGCGTCGACTTGGCATTTTGGTTTACTAGTTGGCAGTGCGTCGACTCAGTACTTTTGGTTGTGTCAGTTGGCAGTGCGTCGACTCGACATTTTGGTTTACTAGTTGGCAGTGCGTCGACTCAGTATATTGGTTGTATCGGTTGGCAGTGCGTCGACTTGATATTTGGGCTTTGCGTCACCATCTAGACGCTGTCGCTACAAGGGATCTTAATACTTCGTATTAAGCTCTGACTTGTTATATTGTTGTTTGTGGATTGGATTAGTGTTGGTTGTGCTCGTATAGAAGATATTGGTTGAGACACCATTGTTTGCTATATATAAATTCTTGTCGTCGACTTCGTCTCCGCGACTATTGGATCTGCGTCTATTGAGAGTTGTGATACTGGTGCTCTGTCCACCCCGAAGCCCTCGCATCTTTCACACACTGAGAAGCTGATTACGAGGAGTGTGAACGTGTTTTATATTTGGGTTTACTTTCATAGTAGATTCACTTGTGAGCACGCCCTCAGCATTTCAGCGGGTTCCAGCCCCGTTCCTTGGTCTGGGTAATTGTGCTCGAGGTATCGGCAGATGGCCCTGGACTCATACCGAATGAAGCAATCGTCGCCCTGCGGATTCAAGAAGCGGGACCTGCAGGCGCTAGAGGAGTGGCTTTCGATGGCCGGGAACGGCTTGAACGGCTGTATAGCTTGATAGGTGGGCGACTGGTACGCACTGCTGGCCAGGTCGAGCACACAGAATTCGAACGAGACGTGCTTCTCGAGGAGAGCGATGAGCGCAGTCTGAGTCGCACCGCCGGCCTCCGGTGAGCCGTAGAGTTTCAGGACCCTGAGTGTTCAGGAGGGAGACCGCAGCACGACTGTCGGAAAGAGATAGTGGTATGAAGTTCAGGCAAGCCGAAAGAGAAGCCAAACATTGGCAGCGTGTATGTAGTGAGTTAAACTTTCGTCTCAGGGCAGAAGGAGGCTCCTTGTAAGGCCGCGCAGCATTGGAGTAGGGGCACGTGACCACAGCGGATCAGAGCAGGCCAGAGTAGTCACAAGGAGTCACAGTAGTCACGGACATTCACGCTTGGCACAAGCACTCAGGAGTGACTACTCCATCTGGTGACAAGAGCGAGATTCGACGCACGCAGCAAGCAGCAAACAAGGCAAAGTGGCAGACAGCAGCAGAAGAAGGAACGGGCAGGACAAAGAAGCACAGCAGAGAGACGGAAAAGGACGCTTCACAAGAAGACCGGAGATCACAGAAGAACAAGACCGACCGAACACACCTACGACACTACGCAGTAGCGGCTATAACACGCCATTCGAACTCATCTCGAGAACAACAACGCCAGCACCGGAGGCAGACACAGACGCACTACCTGTCTTCACGAGCGCCAGCACCCCGAGCCGGCCAGCAGCACACACAAACAACACCCGGTCCGTAACACCGGCAAAAGCGACGCAGAACAACGTACCATTCCCCACAAACACAAAACAAATGGCGACGACAGCGGACATCGACACTGTTGATCAAATGATGATCTTATCGTCTGCCAGATGGATGTCGTGATACACATCTATGACTCCATCACGTGTCATCTAGAGTCATGTTGACTCGTCCTAAATAGACACAAATAGCCCCCTGTATTGTATATAAGGAGGGCTCTATTACCCTTTAATAAAAAGTCTCTTGACTACTCCCGCATAGTGCCCACACTAAGCTCTCAACTCACACAGGTGGGTTGCTAGACGCTCTCCCCAGTGCTCAACAGGTTATGGGCCCCGAGAGCTATGTCTGCGCCTCAATGGCCGCGACATTCATTGTATGCGCCGTCACTGGCTGCAACAATGAGCAGTGTCTTTAGCCTATCTGTATTCACTTCAGCTGCTGCACAGCGCTGATGAAACCATGCCGGATCGCGATTACATCGCTTGATCCAGATGCATCGATCTCTCAAGGAGATTATGATCTATGAGAATCTGATCATCTTGATCTTTGATTTTATCTATCAGATTAGATTGATGCTGATTAACTCACACAGATCAATATGTCGTCCAACTCCAACAACATCTTCAATGCTGTCTCCATCTTTGATGGAAAGCACTGGCTCGTATGGTCCGGAACTATGGAGTCCTACCTGGAACGTCAGGGGATCTCATATGTGCTGACCGAAATGGCGCTGACCGAAGTCAAAGCTACCGATGGCTCTGTGACCAATGCATCGGAGATCAAACAATGGAAGCATGATGATCTCAGAGCCAAAGGCAGCATTAAGTTGCGCCTGACTGAGGGAGTCATTGCTAACATTCCTCCTGCGGATATAGTGTCAGCTGCCAAGATCTGGGCGCATCTGAAGACCCAATACGGTGGTGCTCAGTGCGCCGACCTATATGCGTACTTCCAAACCGCGTTGAACGCCAAGTACAACGTGGGGTTGCACCCGGATCCACAGCTGCTGGTGATCACTACGGCGTTCGCTCGCCTGGAGAATGAGTCTTTGAGCATCCCTGAGTTCCTCAGAGCGATGATCATTCTCAACATAGCCCGGATTCCCTCCGTCACAGAGACTGTTCTCCAGACCTATGAAAAGGACGAGATCAAAGTCTCGGCGGTTCGTGATGCTCTCTTGACGCATTTCGCTCAGAAGCAGTCTCAAAGCCAGAATCATGTGGCCAAGTTCAATACCAAGCGCAAGCGCAATGATCCTTCGTTCACCAATCAGCAACAGGGCTCTGGCTCTGCACCCGATAAGGGTGATAAGGCTGATGGAAAGAAGAAGAACCGTCGAGGCAAGCGCAGTGGGAAGAACAAGGACAACAAGGGCAAGGGCAAGGCTGATCACAGTCATGTCCATGGAGTCTCCGAGATCACTGGCTCCCTCACTATTGGTTCGATCGCCTCGCTCACTCCGTCTATCCCTGCGCCGACGATCTCGCATGTCATGCACATCTCTCGCGATGGACCCAAAATCCGCGCGGTTCAAGAGAAGTCTCCCGTTAACAACAATGGGATTATTGACACCGAGTTCCAGAAGCCTACTCGTAAGGTCTTCGAGCTGGCCAAGAAGATGGATGTGACGGTGACCGCAGAACGCTTCCGGACTCTCGACAAGATCGTCAATGAGAAAGGAATGCTCCGCGAGGACGCAATCATGCGTTCTCCATCTCCAGTTGCTTCCGGCTCGAATCACACTCTGGATGATGGTCCTCCTGCCAAACGCAGTCGTATCGAGGAGATCCCCGACGTCGAGATGGCCACCGGCCAACAGAACGATCTTGATCTTCTGTTTGGAGATAGCGAGTTCGCCCAGGCTGAACCGGTCAATTGGGATGAAGTCGTCGACTTCAACACCCTTCTGGAGGAGATGGACGCTCCTTCCGCCGAAAGGCAAGTACCCTGCCTTCTTGGGCACATGCACAATTCTGATTGTTGCTCACAGCCAGAGCGCGTAATCACCGCCGCCCCGGGTTCTGTACTAAATTTGTTGATGATACGTTCGCATGATTTTTGTACCAATCTATTCTGTGTGCACTCCGATTTTGCTGCCTGCTCTAAGTGTAAGGGGAAACATCATCATCATCATGAATTAGGGCCTCTGTGGCTTCTTGATTCAGGTGCATCTCTCCATGTGACATCGGAGATTAGTGATCTGGTCGGATATGAGAAACTCTCAGATCCTATTGTTGCTCAGACCGCTGATAAGAACACACGTGTTGCCCTTATTGGTCGAGGAACAGCCTTCATCGATCATTACGTCACAAGGCATGGAGAAAAGACTATGGTGACTTCTCAGATATATCCAGTGTACCTAGTGCCAGGATTACATGGTCGTCTCATGTCTTTGGGCTCCTTACTCAAAGGAGGATCTCGTGTTCGTGGAGACGAATCGCGGATCAGCTTACATCGAGGGAAGTCCCCACTCTCGATCATGGAGTTTAGAACTCTAGGGAAGGACATTGCCTTGTACTTCCTGATGTCAAAGCCTAGCACGGCTGAGACAGTGCGATCCATGTCCACTGTTTACAAGGTGGATTATGAGATCATGCACCGGCAATTTGCACATCCGTCGAAAGACGTTTTACGTCAGGCAAAGAAGAATACCAAGGGCTTTCCAGAAGACCTAGTATTTCCCGAGGAAACCCGACCGTGTAAAGGATGCGCGCAAGGGAAAATGCACCAATGTGCCTTCCCGCCTTCCGAAAAACGAGCGGAGAATCCGTTTGATTTGATCCACTCGGATCTCAAACAATTTCCCATGGTGTCTTATCACAAGTACCGCTACTTCATGAGCTTCTTCGACGAAGCACTCTCCTATGGCTGGACAGTATGCCTTGCGCAGAAATCCGATGCCAAGCAGGCTATGCGCAATTTCATTGCGATGGTCAAGAACCAGTTCAATGTCACCATCAAAAAGTGGCATATTGACAATGGGGGAGAATTCATGGGGATGAGAATGGAAGAATTTCTCGCGGAACAAGGAATTCTAGTGGAGAAGGGTGCTCCATATGCTCACCAGCAGAATGGGCATGCCGAGCGCTTCAATCATACGATCATGGATAAGGCAGAAGCCATGCGCTTCACTGCCTGTCTTCCTAATTCTTATTGGGAATTCGCTATTAAACATGCGACACGGATCTACAATATGACACCTATCAGGCGTCTAAAATGGAAAACTCCATTTGAAGCTCTTCACAAGGAAAAACCGGATGTTTCCGAACTCCGAGTCTTTGGTTGCGCTGCATATGTCTTTATCCCTGATGAGAAGCGCGCCAACAAGTTATCGCCCAAATTGGAGCTAATGACCTACTTGGGCATTCCTGATGGTGTGAAAGGATTTTTGTTCATGCGCACAAACAATTCCACGTTCGTCGCCACCAAGGCATTGTTCGACAAGGAGTTGTTCCCTCGCTGTCCTGACAGCAATCAACCACCCCACGTTCCTGTTGGAGAGGAATTTCCAGAACGTGATGACCCAGTGAATCCACAAGATCCACCACAGGTAGACGGAGAAGATTGGCTATATGGAGATAATCCTTTTCCATTTCCCATGCCATCTGATCCGGCTCCACCACCTCCTGTACAGGGAAATGATGATGGTGACGACGGTCATAATCGTCAGGACCCACCGCCAGAGCGTCGGGATGAACCTCAGAGGACTCGTAGAAGTAGAATTCCACGACCAAGTCGGGAAGCTTCACCAGCTCCTGAGCCTCGAAGGTCTTCACGCCAGCGGAATGTGCCTACACGTCCAGGAAACGTCTATGGGGAAAAGCGTACCCCTACGGATATAGTCCGTGACATTCAGAACAGCAGAGGATGGAAGCGGTATGTTGGTGAAGATAAGGGTAGCTCCCAATCTCAACCATCAACCGGGGCTGACGCAGGGGTTCCCGGCCCTAGCTCGCAACCAGATTCCTCAAACGCGGGTGCTTCTGATGATCTAGACAAGGATGCACGCATGGAGAAGCTATGCCGGGAAGGGGGAGTAGAGCTCATCACGGCGCTGCTGTCAAAAGTGGTTCCAAATGAGAACCTACCTGATACGTCCAAAATTCGCGATTGGACGTTCCGCGATATCAAGCGGTTGCCTTCTGAACAACAGAAAGGTTGGATTGATGCTTGCCGTGACGAGTTAGAGGCACTTCGTCAACGCAAGGTCTATTCCCTTGTGGACCGTCCGAAAGGACAGAAGGTTATCAGATGTCGCTGGGTCTTGGACCAAAAATCTGATGGCCGAAAACGTGCCCGCCTAGTTGCCAAGGGTTTCAGTCAAGTCAAAGGTGTTGACTATGACGATATATTCTCTCCTGTTGTCAGGTATGAGACGTTCTGGTTGGTCATGGCGCTTGCAGCGCTAAATGATTGGCATTGGTCTGGACTCAACGTCAGTAAGGCTTTTCTCTACGGAGAGCTTGACGAAGAGGTCTACATGGAACAACCCGAAGGCTTTTTGGCGAGAGGCCAAGAGCGCAAAGTCATGCGCTTGCACAAGGCAATCTATGGACTCAAACAAGCTGCTTTAGCATGGTGGAAAGCGCTGACCAAGTCCACGAAAGCCATGGGCTGGATCCGACTAACATCGGATGCCAGCGTGTTCTTCTACAAGGACTCTGATGGCAGCATAGCCGTCATAATAGTCTATGTGGATGATGCACTGTTCTTCTCCAAGAACAAGAAGCTCCTTGCATTTCTCAAGGCTGAGTTCAACAAGCGATGGGAATGCCGCAATTCTGAAGATACTCCAGAGTTCTTGCGCGTGCGCCTCAGTAGAGTAGGATCTTCGATCAAGATTGATCAGATTCCCTATCTCGACAAGGTGCTAGAGCGCTTTGGAATGCAGAACGCCAAGTTCGCAGTGACCCCTCTACCGGCTGGATATGTTCCTATGCCAAACGAGGATGAAATCGATCCCGAGCTCAGGAAGAAATTCCAATCAGTCATTGGATCTCTTCTCTTCATCATGCTGGGCACACGTCCTGACATTGCATTTGCAGTGACTAAATTGTCACAATTTGCGGCCAATCCGTCCCAAGACCACCTCCATAAAGCACTGTATATCTGCCGCTATTTGGCTGGTACTAGGAATTATTCGCTCATTTTCAATGGTGCGACGGATAGAGGGCTCATTGCATTTAGCGATTCAGACTGGGCTGCTGATCCGATCAAGAGGAGGTCTACCACTGGTTTCTTCACGAAATTGGCAGATGGGATTATTTGCTGGCAGTCTAGACTTCAGCGCACAGTTGCGCAGTCTTCTACAGAAGCAGAGTACATGGCGATTTCAGATTGTAGTCGCCAGGTGATGTGGCTGAAAAGCGTCCTTTCGGAACTCCAGTTCAAACTCACCATCCCAGTACCCATTTGCGGTGACAATCAGGGTGCACTCTTCAGTGGCAGCAATGCCTACCGAGACCGCAGGATGAAACACATAGACATTCGCTATCACTACATTCGTGAGCGAGTCGAGGAAGAAGAGGTTGAACTGTTCTTTATTCCGGGCAGTGAGAATCCTGCAGATATGTTCACCAAGAACCTAGGACGCGTCAAGTTCGAGAAGTTCAGGTCCCAACTAGGACTTGAGTTCAACTCGTCCTGAAGGAATGGCCGATGAAGATTTCGCTTTCAAACACTATCTCGTGGTTTTCAGCGTGGGGGAGTGTTGATCAAATGATGATCTTATCATCTGCCAGATGGATGTCGTGATACACATCTATGACTCCATCACGTGTCATCTAGAGTCATGTTGACTCGTCCTAAATAGACACAAATAGCCCCCTGTATTGTATATAAGGAGGGCTCTATTACCCTTTAATAAAAAGTCTCTTGACTACTCCCGCATAGTGCCCACACTAAGCTCTCAACTCACACAGGTGGGTTGCTAGACGCTCTCCCCAGTGCTCAACAGACACGACACTGGCGTACTCGGGCGACCCAGGGAAGGATAAACTCACGGCGGAAGACTTTGCACGTCAAGTAGCGCGACAGATGAGGAGCATGGCATTAAGCAAGGAAGCGGATAAACTGGAGGTGTTTGGCGACTATCTACTGGCGGGGAAACCAGCAGACAAATGGTGGAAAGCAAAGCAAGCAAGCACCACGGCATTCACGACTTGGAAGGACGCAAGAGCAGGATTTGTCACGGAATTCGACGCCCCCCAAGCAGCGGAGAAGACAAAGCAGGAGTACGAGAAGGAGCTCAGTGGGATGCAGATCACGCTGGCGGAACTTGGGACTCGAATCACAGTGGGCGGCATCGAAACACACGCGCACGTCGCGTTCGCACGAAAACTGCTGCGAATAGCAAAACTAGCAGGCGTCGAGAAATCGAGCAGCAACATATGGACGGTTCGAGATCATCTACCGAAAGCGATACAACAGCAAGTACCAAGAGCACCAAAGGACTGGGAAGAACTGTCCAAGGAGATCGAGAAGATCGACAAAGACAAGCTCGCAGACGATGCAGCGGAAGAACGGGAGAATGCAGCGGTGCGAACAGATGTCGCGAACCTCAAAGGACGAAGCGCACAGAGGATAGTACCTCAATCACCCACGGCACAGATCCGCACACAAATGAACAGAACAACCCTGGCCGATGCCCAACGAATCCCAGCGCCAGCATTCCAGAACTCGGCGGAGATATTGAACGCAGAGGGCAAAGCCAAGCTCGCCGAACTCTTGGACAAGATGAAGGCGGCCATGCCACTCCTGACGACCTCGGAAACGGACACGGCGACGTACAAAGCGCGCATGACGCGGTGGGAACGCAGAGGAGGAGCGGCGGGGCAGGTGGAAACAACGGGAGTACCGCTGTCACCAGGGATGGTGTGGCCAGGAAGCGGAGAATGCTTCAAGTGCGGTAAGCTTACGATCCCAAAGCACAACGCAGCAGCATGCACAGGAACAGCAATCCCGACAGTGGAGAGCAGATTCAGACGCATATGCGCGAAGAACTTACCGCGACCAACCCCAATCAACGCGATGCTAGGTAGCTGGATGGACGACAACGACGGAGACGAGGAGGATTTTCCGAACAGGTCGTTGTAAATGCCCAAACAACGACCCAGCGCATGGGGCGACTGCACAGCCTCGGCGCTCGTAACGTACACGAACCGAATGTTTTCAACACGATGCAAGAATACACAGTGGTTGACCTGTACGCAGTGGGCACCGGGAAGTCATACTCATTCATCCACCCAATCGGGGTGTTAGACGAAGAGGGTAACGAAGTGAAGATGGACGCACTATTCGATGGGGGAGCGTCCGTGAGCGCAATGGATGTCTCGGTATGGAGGAAGCACCGGAAGAGACTAGGACCAGTGACAAAATCAAGACAAGTATTGAGGATGGCCGACGGATCACTGGTAACACCAACGGCACACTGGGAAGGCAAAGTCAAAATAGGTGGGATCACAGTCGAGGTGGAGCTGGAAGTATTCGACAGGGGGGAACTGGTCGTTCCTGTTCGGGAAACCATCACTGAAAGCGGCGCAGGCAGTACACGACTTCGCAAAAGACATAGTGACGGTACAAGGGAAGGAAGACAACAAGACGATAACACTGCACAACGAACACCAAAAACGGGGGCAACACAAAGAAGGAGGACAGAGTTCACCGGGGCGCTATCGTTTGAAGAACACCTCGAGAAGGAAACGAGCCCCGATAATGGAACAACGAGGACGTGGCTGGACGAGCTAGTGGAGGAGGAGATCAGCAGAGCAATACAGAAGATGAGGGAGAGAACGGTCAAAACAGGGGGTGGAATACACCCCCCGCAAGGGACGTACCAAATCAGGATCCGGAGCTGGTAGCGACCACAACTGACAACGGAACAGGATCGTTCGAAGACATAGCAAGCGCAGACGCAATGCAAGACACAGGAACTGAGGCAATATGAACAAGAACGCAGGACCCATTCAAACCGGAGAGAGTCGCAGCAATTTTAAAGCTGGTAGAAGTCGGGACAGACATAACAACTGAGGAGACCGCGGCAGTGCATGAATTCATAGCGAGCTACGCTGACATCTTTGCGCTGTCAGTATCAGAAGTGACACCAGTCGAAAACGCAACATATGCGCCGAAAATACCGCCAGACCACAAATTCAGCACAAAGGTACACCAGAAACCGATGACACCACCGCAGGAGGCGTATCTACAAAAGCAAACACGCATGCTAGTAGACGCAGGAGTGCTACGACCGATTCACCCAAGAGACGTCAAGTGCGTATCGCCGATCAAGTTAGCCCAGAAAGAGCACGAAAACGAAGGTCTATCACATGAGGAGCTAAAACAAGAGCTTAACGAGGCATGCGAACGAGCAGGAATGCCAAGGCCATACGAGATGGAGCACAAGGTAAGAACGAAAGGCGCTAAAGGGGGAAGCAGTCAGCAGGAACAGAAATGGCGCATCTGCCAGAACTTCCACGAGTTAAAGAAACTACTCAAAGTAGTACCAGTACCGCAAGGCAACATACGAGACAAGCAAAGGCGCCTAGCCGGCCACAGATACGTATCAATATTCGACTTTGCATCGGGGTTCTTTGCGCTACGGGTGGATGAGGCAGCGCAACCATACTTGGTGATGTTCGTACCAGGAATGGGGTACTTCGCGTACACGTAAATGCCGTTCGGGCTGACAGACGCACCAACCGAATTTGGAGCGATGTGCGCAGACAGACTCAGCGACCTACTGATACGAGTGATGTGTAAGGGCAACTCCTGCCAGCCCGAAGGAAGAGAGCACACAGCACACAACAACCTCACATGAGTCTGAGCACAGAGGGGGATCCTTAGAGACTATCAAATACAAGGGAGGTATACTACTCACCTGAGCACAGAGGGGGATCCTTAGAGAACGGTTCAAGGATCCATGTGCCCAGGTGTCACACTATATAGTCAGCTGTGACAAGTGACTGATGATGATGGGATATCACTGCCATGGAACAATGGCAGATGACAAGTAGATAATGACAAACCCAGATAAGATAGTGAGTGGCTCAGAGGGGCCAGTGATGGCCAGCTCCTGAGACACCAACAGTGGAAGGCCACACTGGAGGAGCCCAGTGGCCAGGCCAGTGCCGGGCCGGCCAGTGGAGGCATCGGAGGCGAGGACCAATGCCCGACTGGGAAGAGGGGTGGTACGGATGAGCGCAAGGCATCTGGTACGAGCCTGTACGGCAGTAGACCACATCCGCGGGAAGAAGGCCGAAGTAGAGGGGGAGGAGTGCGTACGGCAGTAGCACTCCCTGGTGCAAGGAATCGGGCTTGGCTAGACCGCTTGCGGGGATTCGAGGGAGATGGCCGGGGGAAGAAGGGAGAGGGCGGATGTCGGCATGGATGGAGGTGAGGATCGGAGGAGGAGGAGGAGGCTGGGTGATCGACAGGTGAGCAGGCACGGGTCGGCAGAGAGGGCGCAGCGGGTCACGTGCATGGTCACGTGCCCAAGGAGCGCAGCGTCCCCTGACATCATCCCCTCTTCAAGCTACGGCGTCCCGACGTAGGCAGCGCAAAGCAGATGGAAGAAAGGGAGGGTGGGTGGGGGAAAAAGAAGGACGCACTACTCCGGTGGTATGCTGCGCGTCCCACTCTGTCGTCCAGTGCGTCGTCACTGAGCTGCGTGTCAGCTCCCTATGACCTAGTGGTCGGTCGCTGTCCCGCTCTAAGGTCCAGCCCCACAGCTATGCATGTGTGGCTGTACCACGACCTTCCCTATGGTCAGGGTGGTCATCACTCTGCTCCTCCCAGAAGCTCAGGTGCCTGTAAGGGCAACCAGGACTCCTGAAGTCGTCCCACTTGTAGAGAGAAGCTCCCTTGCAGTCGCTTCCCTCTACTGCCCCTTCATCCCCCCTTCAAGGTGCGGCGCCCTCGACGCACCAATCGGTTGTCCTAGCTGCACAGCAGCAATAGAGGCAACCGAAAAAAAAGGCACGTGTCGGATGCGGAAGGGAGGGATGTTGCGTGCACCAGCCACCTAATAGATGGGGTCGGCGGGTGATGCACGGGTCTACCACCTGCCGTGGATGTCCGGAGCCAAGGTGTAACAGGCCGGCCACAACAGCAAGCCAGCCATCACATGGTTAGTGCAAGGCCTCGCACAACAGCGGAGGCACGTAGCAGATGTTCCGCCGGCCGAAGCCGGGGGTATATGCCCATGGAGACACACGTAGGGGGACAGAGCCAACAGAAGGACCGACTGCTCTGACGCTCAAGACGTAACAAGCCGGCCAAGGGGGCCAGCCATCACACGGTTAGCGCAAGGCCTCGCACAACAGCGGAGGCACGTAGCGGATGTTCCGCTGGCCGAAGCCAGGGGTATATGCCTGTGGAGACGTGCGTAGAGGCGAGACAGTGGGGGAGAGGTCATGGACCAAGGCGGAGACGATGGGAACAGAGGGAGGAGTGCAGAGGAGATGGGACGGAGGGAGAGGGTCTGCTGCGCCAGGTGCAACATCACAATCAGCTGGGGATAGAGCAAGGGATGCTCCATCCGAACCGATCCTGCAGAGAAGCAGGTGCCAAGTGACCAATGGACGGTCACGGGGACAATAGACAATCCCCCCTTCAAGGTTGCAGCCCACCTGCAATAATGCACAACGAGCGTGGGCAGCAACCAAGAAGTAGGCCTGGATGCGCAGGGAGAGCCTGGCGGCATAGGAGCGCGGACCCAAGGACACGAGGAAGCAGCAGAAGAGAGGAGGCCAGACGGCCCAGCGCACGATGAGAAAAGACCCAGACCCAGCAGAGAGCGGCAGCCATGGGCAAGCAATGCCAGATCCATCACATCACAGAGGAACCCAAGCCTAGGGTCCCATCACAGCCACAAAAAAGCGCAGCAGAAATGGTGCCTGGGGCGCAGCCACGGATCACGTGACATGTCGGTCACATGACTGAAAGGACGGTCACGTGATATGCATGTGACATAGCGCAGCCACACATCACATGACTCCCTGGACATGACACAGCACACAGCAGCAGCTCACAGAGTGGCAGACTGCCCTAGGGGCAGAGCACCAACAGTGTGGCTACACAAGACAGCAGACTGCCTCAAAGGCAATGGGCTGTCACTGTGGCTATGCCAGTGCACTGCCACTGGAGACAGGTGGCAGTGTGGGGATCCAGAGCACAGCCATGAGGTCACATGAGCAGAGAGCGGACCAAACTCTGCCAAAGGGGAGAGGCAGGTGGCTGTGCAGAGAGCGGGGAGCGGGGTGGCTGCACAGAGGGCGGGGCGCGGTGGCTGCGCAAGGAGCGGGGCACTGCCACGGAGGGCGGGGGTGATGGGGGTCACCTGAGAGAACAGCCAGGTGACTAGACACTGCCACTGCCAGCAAGCCCGAGGATGGCCGGGTTTTCGACAGCGTGGGAAACTCGAGCACTGCCACTGCCCCCAAAACTCGAAAATGCTCTGGGGGAGTGGGGCTGGCAGGGGGCAGGGGGAGGGGAGTCCATGGGAGAGATGGAGAGAGGGCATACAGAGGGCAGCCGGGCAGAGCAGGGCTGCAGCCAGCTAGGAGGTGGAGAGGGGTAGAGGCAGGTGGGAAGGCAGGGAACACAAGACCAGGGGGTCCAGCTTCACAGAGGTGCCCATGGGGAGGGGGAGTAGAGCAGGTTGGGTAGAATATGTTCAGCAGCATAGGAGAGGAGCAGAATCACATATCTAGGGCACAAGGACCCAACCAGAGACCAGAGCACATATGACAGTCATCCCACCACCAACTCATCCAACCCAGCTCAGTCATCCAAATCCACCAAGCCACAGAACCAACATCCAGCCAGGAGGGGGGAGAGAGAGGGAGGCCAAGTCCCAAATCCAGGAGGGGAACGAAGGGGGAGGAGGTCAGAGTCGGATGGCACGAGCCTCAACGGCAGTAGGCCAGGGAGATGAGGGGGAGGAAGAGGAGGGGAGGGATGACCGGGGGTTCGTGGGTGATGCGTATGCGATGTATGGAGTGGACCAGTTAACACTAACGGCAGTAGACCACATCCGCGGGGAGAAGGCCGAAGTGAAGGGGGAGGAGTGCATACGGCAGTAGCACTCCCTGGTGCAAGGAATCGGGCTTGGCTAGACCGCTTGCGGGGATTCGAGGGAGATGGCCGGGGGAAGAAGGGAGAGGGCGGATGTCGGCATGGATGGAGATGAGGATCGGAGGAGGAGGAGGAGGCTGGGTGATCGACAGGTGAGCAGGCACGGGTCGGCAGAGAGGGTGCAGTGGGTCACGTGCATGGTCACGTGCCCAAGGAGCGCAGCGTCCCCTGACATACACCCTGGAGACGATCGACGGCTTGCGCATAGACGGTGTATTCAACGCAAGACGACTACGAAGATACATTCCGAGAGAGGGGACCAAGCTAGCAATAGCACAAACGGAGTTCTCGAAAACAGAACGAGAAAAAGAGAAACAACAAGGAGCCATCGAAGCGGCAGAGGTGGAAGCCATGAGAGCAGCAGAGACGACAGAGGTGGAAAGGTGGAGGATACGACAGGCAGAAGAAGAGCTGAGGAAAGCGGCAGGCGACGAGGGCAACGCCATTTAAAATGGGGGCACATGGAGTAGGGGCACGAGACCACAGCGGATCAGAGCAGGCCAGAGTAGTCACAAGGAGTCACAGTAGTCACGGACATTCACGCTTGGCACAAGCACTCAGGAGTGACTACTCCAGCATAATGCCAAACTCCCTTGACGAAGCGGGGAGGTAAGGCGGAATAAAGCAAGGCGGAAAAAGGACAAGATTTCGAGCACAGTCAAAGGCGGCAGGTTCTGCACGCATTGCTAGAGGGTTGGCTGTGCGACAGAACGGGCGACAAATCGAACTAGTAGTCCTGGCGCGGCGCGGTCCGACTGCGAGGGGTTCCTCGAGCCACGCAGTTTCGTCGTTGAAACGGGTCTTTGCTATGATCCTTGAGGTTCTAGGCGCGCTCTGACTGCCACCGTCGCTCCAGGTCGAGACGAACAGGAAAGAACGGGCCGCATCAGAGGAGCGAGCGGTCGATCGCCGAAACGCGTGATTTATGCGTGACTTTGTTTGATGAGACTTTGGTCGTCACGCGCTTTTTCTCATCCTTGTCATCCTCCACCACTTCCAGCGCCGCACCCCCCCCCCCCCCCCCCCCCCCCCCCCCCCCGCCTCTTCCCCCACCCTCGATCCCGTTTCACGCTATGGCTTTTGTTTTTAAGCGAGGTGAGTCCATTATGTCCCACGTCGCGTTCAGGTCGTTGACGAACCTACGCGTGCTTCAGATGGGTATGTGATGCTCTGGTCGCGTTGCTCGCGCGCAAAACACGTCTAATTCACGCTCCACCTTTCTCAGACGTAAAGAAAAAGTGTTATTCGACAAGGTCGGCCTCGACCGTTATCTCCAGCAAGCGCATACTTACCACGTGCCTTCCCACCCCAGATCACCAGCCGTATCGAGAAGCTCATCTATGGGCTTGACCAGAACTACGTGAACCCTATCGAGTGCGTGGAGTCCTCGGCGTGAATCATTTACGCGTTCTTAGCCACTTCGCAGAGTCACCCAGAAAGTCGTCGCGGGCGTGTACAATGGGATTACGACGATGGAGCTGGATGTGCGTCTTCTATCGCGTTGAATGCTTGCAGTCTCTGTCTCACGTTTCGCTGAAGAACCTCGCGGCCGAGACCGCCGCGTATCTAACGACGAAGCACCCAGACTATGCCATCCTCGCTGCGCGTATCGCGATCTCAAACTTACACAAGGAGACGGACAAGAGTTTCTCGAAGGTCGTCTCGCGCCTGTACTCTTATGGTTCGCTCGCTCTTCAACATCGAACTGCACCTTGTTGACTTCTTGCAGTTAATCCGAAGACTGGGCGTGCAGCCTCGCTGATTGCGAAGAACACGTATGATGTTGTACAAGAGCACGCTGCAACCCTCGACGCTGCAATCATCCACAACCGGGATTTCAGCTACAACTAGTGCGCTCTTTCTCAGCTCCTGTCGACCGATGCTTATCTAGTTCAGTTTCGGATTTAAGACCCTCGAGCGGTCATACCTGCTTCGTCTAGATGGCAAAGTCGTCGAGCGTCCCCAGCACCTCATCATGCGTGTTGCCGTCGGCATCCATGGCTCGAACATCGAACGCGTTCTGGAAACATACAACCTCATGTCGCAGCGCTACTTCACTCACGCGACCCCTACGCTTTTCAATGCTGGAACACCTCTAGCGCAACTTAGCTCGTGCTTCCTTGTCTGCATGAAAGATGATTCCATCGAGGGTATCTATGACACGCTTAAGAACTGTGCGATGATCAGCAAGAGTGCGGGAGGAATCGGGCTGAACATCCACAACATCCGAGCTACCGGGTGCGGATCGCTCTTATCTTTTCTGCACGCACAGCTAAAGTGCGTTCCCAGCTCTTACATTGCCGGAACGAATGGCTACTCGAATGGGATCGTGCCCATGCTCCGAGCTTACGATGCTACAGCTCGATATGTCGACCAAGGCGGCAACAAGCGTCCGGGCGCTTTTGCAATCTACCTCGAGCCGTGGCATGCAGACATCTTTGAATTCATCGACCTGCGCAAGAATCATGGGAAGGAGCAGATGCGAGCACGGGACTTGTTCCTGGCTCTCTGGATTCCAAATCTGTTCATGAAACGTGTCGAAGCCGACGGCCAGTGGTCTTTGTTCTGCCCGAACGAAGCTCCGGGGCTTCACGAGGTGCACAGCGAGGAGTTTGAGCAGCTGTACGAGCAGTATGAGCGGGAAGGGAGGGCACGGCAAACGATTTCTGCACAGAAGCTATGGTATGCGATCTTGGAGGCGCAGGTTGAAACGGGTGGTCCTTTTATGGTCTACAAGGATCATGCCAATGGTATGGGTAGTGCTGCTGCTGCTTCCGTGGCTCACTCGTCTTTTAGCCAAGTCAAACCAGAAGAATTTGGGCACGATCAAATCCTCGAATTTGTGCACGGAGATCATCGAATATTCGTCCCCCGACGAGACGGCCGTCTGCAACTTGGCGTCAATTGCGTTGCCGAGCTTCATTATCGACGGGAAATACGACTTCCAGAGACTGCACGATATCGCCAAGGTCGTCGCATTCAACCTGAACCGTATCATCGATGTCAACTACTATCCGATTCCCGAGACGCGGAAATCGAACATGCGTCACCGGCCGATTGGTGTTGGTGTCCAGGGACTCGCAGATGTTTTCCTCGCTTTGAGGATGCCGTTCGATTCGCCAGCCGCGAAGGAGTTGAATCTGCAGATCTTCGAGACCATCTATCATGGTGCTCTAGAGGCTAGTTGCGAGATGGCCCAGACGGATGGACCTTACGAGTCGTACCAAGGCAGTCCGGCGTCGCATGGCGAGCTGCAGTACGACATGTGGGGTGTCACACCTTCACCCCTGTGGGACTGGGCCGAGCTTAAGGCGAAGATCGCGAAGCACGGGTTGAGGAACTCGCTGTTGACCGCGCCGATGCCGACTGCCTCGACAAGCCAGATTCTGGGCAACAACGAGTGCTTTGAGCCGTACACGAGCAACATCTACACACGACGTGTTCTGTCTGGGGAGTTCCAGGTGAGCGTTAGCCATTCTGCATGCTAGAACGCCACTCTAACTTGAGGGAGGTTGTCAACCCTTGGCTGCTGCGTGAGCTTGTCGATCGGGGGTTGTGGGATGACGATATGAAGAACATCCTCATCGCGCACCGGGGATCGGTACAGAACATTCCCAGCATTCCTGACGACGTCAAGGCCATCTACAAGACTGTTTGGGAAATCAGTCAGAAGAAGGTCCTCGAGCTTGCCGCCGACCGAGGCGCGTTCATCTGCCAGAGCCAGAGTCTCAATGTCCACCTGGCCGCACCGACGATGGGCCAACTGACCAGCATGCACTTCTACGGATGGAAGCGGGGTCTGAAGACTGGGATGTACTATCTCCGGACCCAGCCGGCCTCTGCCGCGATCCAGTTCACCGTCGACCAGACTGTGCTGGACAAGGTCAAGGCGCAGAATGCGGAGGCTGCCAAAGCCAAGGCGGTGCCTGCGAGTCCAGCTCGGTCCACCACGGCTGCCACAACCATCTCCCCATCCCCATCTTCATCTTCCACAGTCTCGAGAGATCACATCCTTACGCCGGCGGACTCTGTCACCATCATCACGCAGACCAAGACTGCTGAGCCTATTGTGGCCTTAGATGAAAGCAACGACATGCTCGAGAAGTTGGCTGCTGAGGACCCGGAGTTTGCTGAGTCGCTGCGGAAGCTGCAGGAACGGCAGCTGGAAGAAGCCAAGATGCTCTGTGCACTTGAAAACAAGGACGAGTGTCTGATGTGCTCTGGCTGAGAGAGCTCGGGCTTTCCATGTATCTTTTTTACTGCATTCATTTGTACTTGTAACTGAATCTGCATCTACCACGGCATGATCTCTCCATCGAATTTGAAGAACTTGCCGCCTTGCTCGGGGGTGAGACCAGCGACCAACTTCAAAATCGCCTTGGCCGAGACCTCGGGTGGCATACCCCCAGAGCCGTGCTGATTTCCCATATCCGTCGCGACCCAGCCCGGGTGGACAGAGATGACAGTGAATTCCTCGCCCGCGCGGTTCAGTTCGTTGTTCGTCTGCACGGCAAGCATATTGAGCGCGGCCTTGGAGACGCCGTAGCACCCCGCCAAGCCGATCGAGTTCGGCATCGCCTGCTGCTCGATGGAGCCGCTCGACGAGCTGATGAGGACGATGCGCCTTATTTTGCGCGGACTGGCGCGCAGGGCAGGGAGGAACGCGCGGATGACGCGGTGCGGCCCGAGCACGTTCGTGTCGAGGTACTGCCCGAGGTGCGCCGTCGCGGTGCGCGTGACGGGATCGCGGTCGCCCATCCCCGCATTGACGATGAGCGTGTCGAGCTCCGCGACGCCCGCGGCGGCGGCGGCGACCGACGCGTCGGAGGTGATGTCCGCGGTGAGCGTCGTCGCGCCGGCGATGGGCAGGGATCCCGTGCGCACGGTGCCGAGGACGGTGGTGTTTGGGGTCGCGGCGAGCTCCTGGACGAGCGCGAGCCCGATTCCGCGCGATGCGCCGACGACGAGGACGGTCTGGTTTGGTGAGTCGGAGGCCATCGAGGTTGGTGGAGGGAGCAAGGAAGGCGCACTGCAATCACGGTGTCGTGATATCATGCAGTACTCGCTCCAGGGATCGGGATGTGAACGGATTAGGGCATTTGAAGTTGCTTGCAGAGACGGTCAAATTAATGGACATTCTTATGCTTGCAAATCACTCGAACTTTTCAGGTCTCCGCGTTGGAAGAGCAAGCAAGATCTTTCGCTTCATTCATGATCTCGGATCATCCGGATCAGATTGCAGTCTACGTCGACCCCGTACAATCTCGTCGATCAATAAGAATCTACACTGGTAAACACCGTCCCTTGAGGGAACCTCTGCACGGCCGGTCTGGACTGGATATCTTTCCACCATCTCCACACACAGTCAGAATAACGCAAGCACGACGACAGAGGACGAACCGAGCCACATTCGGTCGGGCATCACTCGTCATGATGCCGCATCCAGCCTGAGCTAGCGCGGCGCCGAAGGCCAGATGGAACAGATCTGCGAGTGTGAATTCCTGGTTGAGGTGGCTCAGCCGGCTGTGCTCGTGAATGACGATCAAGAGAGACCCCCACAGACCTCGCCAGCGAGATACCGCGTCTTTCCAAGCACAGACTCATACACATCCAGAGTGACGCAGAGCTTGCGGAGGGCCTCTTCGACGACGGATTCATCGCATGTCAGGCCTCGCAGGCTGGGAAAGCGCTGTGTCAGCCGAGGGATGCGTGCCGCGCACTAGGGCTCACGGATTGATCACCCTTTCAGCAAATATGCTGTGCGCGTGCGGGTTGAAGTTGGATGACTCGACCGATATCGCCTGCTCGAAGAGCGCGCGGGCACGCACATCCCCGCTGGGCGGCCCCAGTCTCGTTCCCTGCGCCGGATACATGTCCTCGAGATACCGGCAGATCGCCCGCGACTCGTACAGAATGAACCCGTCGTCGTCCTGTATACCACGCAGAGCTACAGTATGAGCGGGGGGCAGTTCGGACGGGGTGTCGACGGGCGTACAATTACGGGGTACTGCCCGAACGGCTGCATCGCCATGTATTGAGGTGAGCGGTGCGCGTTGTTCGCAGTGTCGATGGTACAATTCTCGAACGGCACCTGTTTCTCGAGGAGGGTCACCAGGACTGACTGCGTGCCTCCCCCCACGCGCGAGAAACCGTGAAGTTTGAGAACCATCGTGTGATGTTCAGACTTGGGGGAAGTACTGAGTGGTGGGAGGAGATCTTATACTGCATCGATGATGCTGGTTCGATGTAGAAAGCCGTTTCGTCAGAGAAATTCCGCACGGGAAGACATCTCAGTAGAAGACATATCCCGAGGAAGCGGGATTTGCAACGAGATCACAAGACTGGCGAAGGCACCTGATGATAGGTAACCACAGATTGCCCATCGTCAGTACAGCGGCTCAAATTTCAGTCGAGCAGAGTGCTGAGTTTGGGGCGATTTAGACCCGAAAGCAAACTGCTGCTGGGTTCAAGTGCGAAATGAGCGGAAGATGCTTCAATTAAAAACGGCGCTAGCTTTGAGCGTCGGTATCTCCTTCAAGACACGAGACCAGTGTTTCGTGCCTGCAGAGCGCACTGGAGGGGAGAGACAGGGAGATCACGGCCCTCTATTTGTTCGGCTATCACCGACCAAGATCACTAGAATCAGATCGGTCTCTTCGACTACCGTAACTGTCTATGCCATTTCATCACGGGTGTGGATGTTTTGAATGAGTATTCCTAGCTTCACCATAGGAATCGTTTCTGCTTCTGGCAACTTTTCTACGGGAAGTTCACGCGCCATGGAGAGCCGACGGACTCCGCGCATCATCCTGAACTGAACTTCGATGAAACGCCATCTCGCTTCCGCAGCGTAGCCTAGAGCTTGACAATGAGACTTTATAAGGGCGAGCGCTTCCACCACACTCTACCCACTCCGAGCACACGATGGTTCTCAAGCTGTACGGCTTCCCCCGAGCGTCTGGGGCCACCCGCGCCGTTCTCGTGACTCTACTGGAGAAACAAGTGCCGTTCGAGCACTGCATCGTCGACGTCCAGAACGGCGAGCTTCTCTTGCCCCGATTTATTGCGATGCAGCCATTTAGCCAGTACCCCGTTATTGTACGTGGGATGTCAATGACCGCATGCGCATCTGTCCCTGCTTAATATTTTCCAACCGTGTGTGACAGGACGACGACGGGCTTATCGTGTACGAGTCGCGTGCAATCTGTCGGTATCTGGAAGACAAGTACCCCGCGCAAGGCACGAGGCTGGGTCCGCCCAGCGGGGACCTTCGCGCCCGCGCCCGCTTCGAGCAGGCTATGCGGTGGAGACGTTCAACTTCCATCCGCATGTGCACACCGTCTATTTCGAGCGGATCAACAAACCGTGAGAGGCAGTGATGTTCTATAGCAATGGTCTTGCGTGCGATTTGGCTGACGTTTTATATGTCACCAGCTTGCGAGGCTTGCAATCCGATGAGGCCGCTATTTCGGAGGCCCTCCAGAAGCTCGGGAAGACGCTGGATGTGTATGATCTCATCCTCGGAAAGACACGTTTTCTCGCTGGAGATGTGTGTCTCAAACCCGCTTTCTTCTCTCGTGTGACTTGTATTGAGCCTCGCCCAGGAATTCACACTCGCAGATCTTTTCCACCTGCCTTTTGGGGGCTTGTTGTCCTTGAACGGCGGATCCGACATCATATCAAGTGAAGCGAGGCCGAATGTTGCGCGGTTCGTGCTGCTTCATATCTCCTTTTCAACTTCCTGAATGGTTGTGCGATATCATTGCAGCTGGTGGAACGAGATCCATGCCAGGCCGACCGTGCAGAGATTCCCGCAAGCGACACTCATTGCCAGCGTCGACTCATACTGATTGGGAATCGAATCGAGGCTGCCTTCGACTCGAATCAGCAATCCGTAATAGGGCTGCTATATACTCGATTAGTTCAATATCGGTTCGATTAGGCAATGATACTCGATCGCGACTTCGATCCGCCATCAGATCGGCCTCTTCGACCTTCATTTCAGGTCAACAACTTGGCCTCCGTGTTTGCTTTGTGGGCCAGTGACTCGATTGTGCCTGCCTTCATTCAATAACCACGCGCGTCATTACATGCACTGCTCGTAATGCATATCGTGGTGTGCCCTTGCCAATCCCGCCCTCCGCTATAAAACTCGCACAAACGCTGTCCGCTCTCCTCCATCCCAGCAATGGTCCTGAAACTCTACGGCTCCCCACGCGCGGCCGGCGCGACGCACGCGGTGCTGGTGACCCTGCTCGAGAAACAGGTGCCGTTCGAGAACTGCGCGCTCGACCTGCCCAACCGCGCGCATCTCGCGCCTGCCCACACGGCGCGGCAGCCGTTCAAGCAGTTCCCCGTCATCGTGCGTGCGCAGCATGGGTCCCCTGGTTTCCCGCCGTGAGCGCGGCGTGAGCTGAGTGTGAGTGTGTGCACAGGAGGATGACGGTGGGTTCGTGCTGTACGAGTCGCGCGCGATCTGCCGCTATCTCGAGGAAAAGTATGCGGGGCAGGGGACGAGCCTGGGGCCACCAGTCCCCGGTGCCGGTGCCGATGCACTGCGTGCGCGCGCCGTGTTCGAGCAGGCTGTGTCGGTGGAGACGTCCAATTTTCATCCGCATGCGCACCGGATCTATGCGGAGAGGATATCTAAAAGGTGTGTGAGCGGCTGAGTGTGGTAGTACGATCGAGGGCTGATCATGAATAGGAGGCGAGGGCTGAAACCCGACGAGTGTGCCGTCGAGGAGGCACTGCAGCAGCTGTCTGCGACTTTGGATGTGTACGAAGAAATACTGGGACGGACGCGGTACCTAGCAGGAGACGTGCGCGCGCACGTCAAAAGGCCTCAAGTCGCGAGCTGATGATGACCTCCAGGCATTCACGCTGGCCGACCTGTTTCATCTGTCGTTCGGTGGGGTGTTATCTCTCGCGGGATGTGATATCATGACGAGCGAGACGCGACCGAACGTTACGAGGTCCGTGTTCTGGCGCTTCCTCGGTGTCGGTGGTTTCTGACACCTATTCCAGGTGGTGGCAGGATATACAGTCGAGACCGTCCGTGCGCCGGTTTCCTGAGGCAACCGCGTTTACTAGTGTAGATTCGTACTAGGTGTGTCGACGTAAGAGCTGCTAGAAATGGAGGCGTGTGTACATAACATGCCAATGATTGATGCCATCCGGACTTCCTTCTTGCACTCAACTTTGAAAACTGGTCTCAATACTCGAGTAGCTAGAGGTCTGCTATGGCCAAGAGACTGTAATTGCATCTCGAGAGGCTTTCTCTCGCACATCTCGGGTGAACGGGATGAGACCGGCTACCCTCCCACGCGCGTGGCTAGCGCAGAGTCCGACTCGGAACGACTGTATGACCACGACGGAGTGATCGAAAGTGAGTAAAGACGGAGTCTCAGCAAGCACAGACTGAATACGGTGTGACATTGGTGAAGATTTCATCTGGTACAGATATGAAGGAAGCCGGGTCCGACATGCATGACCTTGAAAGCCCTCGGAAAGCGTGGTCTCCGTTTTTGCTGGGTGCGCTGCCCATGGGGCTGTGTGCCCTGGTCTTAGTTGCTCTCATCGCGGCGCTGGACGTTCTGTATCGGCGCGTGCGTTTCGGTTTCTACATCTGGGTGAGCTGGAGGACTCATCGACGCGTCGCAGTCGCCTTACAAAGCCCAATCGAGTGCGAAGCTCGTCGTGTGGACGTACCTGCCCGCCGCGGTGCTCATGGTCATCGAGTTTATGTGGATCGCGTACGACCTGCAGGTCAAGACCCTCGTGCCCTGGGCTGAACTCAGCCGCGGCTTTGCACTCGCACACAGAGGCTGGCGCCTCGACTACCTCGGCGCGAACATGCTTGCCAACCTCTGGCACGCGGCGAAGTACTGGCACGCGTAGCGGGAGTCGTCGCGGCCTCGCTCTTCCGGGTTCAGGCCATCGCGCACACGGCCCCGAGTACCCTGAACCGCACCACGGCGCTGATGCCACCCGCGGCATTCGATCCAGGCGCGCTTGCTGACAAGGGCTACACGACAAGCTGCCTGGGGCGGCAGGTGCTGGGGCTCCCGCGGCCGCGCTGGTAGAGTGCAGGCGACATCGCCCTTGAGGCTGTGGCGGGTTCCTCGAGCTCGAGTGGGACGCTTGGGGCCACGACGCGGCTATTCCGCGGATCTGGTCTGCTTGCCTGCCACGGTGGCGTTTACGGGCAGCTCCCTACTCCCGACTGCGTACAACAATGCACTGGGATCGCCGACGACTGTGTACTCGGCCGCTATCGCAGGCGCGCAGTGCGAGGCCGTGTACGATCTGAATCACGTGAACACCGGCATCTTCTTGACAGACTCGTATTTGGTTGGACGCGTCTTCAACCACACCTGCCCTGGCTCCTCAAGGCCTCAAACTCCACAACCGTCCTCGCGATCGTGACGCTGAGCAATGCGTCTTTCGTCGGTGGCGTGGTTGTGGAATGCACACCGACGTATGCCCAGCATCAAGTCGCCGTCTCCGTTCCGCCGTCTTCTTCTGTGCCGATCTCAGCATCCGTCATCGGGTCGGCCGTTGTTCTGGATGCACCGGAATGGAGGGACATGCTGCAGTGGATCAACGCCAGCACGGCCGAACCACCCGTCGTCCATTCATCGCGGCCATCGATCATCAATCCCTTCCTCGGCTGGGGCAACCCCCTGGTCGACTTGGAGGCCATCGCCTGCGACTGCGACTCCTGGCTCTTCTTGATGGGGCATGGCGCAAATCCGGGGCCCTCGTCCTGCTGAACCGGACCGCCGTACCCGGTGGGCGCGATGGTGAAGCTCTTGGTCGACGGCGGGTTTACGGAGCTGAAGGCGCTGGGGAGAATTGCAGATGAGCGTGGAATGGTCGACTTGGTTAGCACGTATCGGTTTGTTCTGCGGGATGTGGAGAGGTTGGGTGTGGATGTCGTGGCGTGATTACTTGGTATCATTGGACTTTGCAGAATTGGTAGCGAGTCTCGTAGATCCCAGCTGATGTATGTCCCTCTCTATCATTATAGGTCGTAGACTTGGGAGTGTCCTGAGTATATGCTTTCCATTTAGACATTCTTATCTTCTTGCGACTGAATTTCGTCATGCCACTTGGGGACGATGGTCGATCGCTTTGCAGGATCAGAAATGGATTTGCTATTTACAGGATCCAAATTCCAATTCCAGAACGAGTAGTGAAATACAATGAGTCTTCGCATATATCCATGTCGTCTGCGAAGCCTTCGCGAGGATCTTTGCAGCGTTGATATCCTTCGGTCGTACAAGGACGAACGATCTCTTGGATATCCTCCCCATGCACCATTGGACTAGCGTACAGGCTAAACGGCCATCGGGACGAAGTTGTCTCTCGTTGAGAAACCGCGTTGGCATTCGTGAGTATATGCGATAAATGGACGATTTGCAGCGCAGCTCCGTAGGTAAAGCGAATAGCAGCGACGCGGACAGCTGACAGGGAAGTTCCCATGGAACGGCGAACATCCGGGGCACTTTACGCCAGGATAAAAGACCAGCGTCCCGGAAATTGTCTGCAAGAGCCCCGGCTTTCCCAATCGCAATGCTTCTCTCACTGACCATCTTTACGCTTTGCCTTTCGGCTGTCGCTCTCCCAGTCATCGAGAACCCTGCGGAGGGGCTGACGGTCAGTGCTTCAGTTGCCGTCACCGTCTGCGCGCTGAGATGACTTCGGGCTCAGATCAAGTGCACCTGTGCTGGAACGAACGGCACCGACGGCGCTCAGTTCCATTGCGGTGACCGTCGCTTAGGACCCGCCAAGCTGCCCCACAAGTTCCCATTCGACGCGATGCTCGCGACCTACAGCCGCTTTGGAGACCTCTGCCCCGACGCGTGGCTCGCCAAGTACACCCACCCCTCGACAGGCGCGCTCGTCTTCCCGCCCGACGACGGGTTCCAGATCTCCGACACCGCGAGGGCGATCAAGGGCAGCCAGACGCTCGTGCCGGGGATGCTGTTGGATCGGTTCGGGTTCGAAGGCGGGCGGTTTCTCGCGCCGGCGTTCACGCCGTACGGCCAGCGCGCACTGACGCCGTCCAGCTTGGCCGACCCGCCGGGCGGTCCGCAGGCGAACTACCGCGTCTACCGGGTGACGCAGGAGTTCATCGTGTTGACGGGCACCATTGCGGCGTGGTTTGAGCAGCCGGGACAGGGGACGCAGTATCTGGCGGCGCGAAACGTGTCGAGTCTGATCGCGGACGGGTTTTTGGAAAGTGTGGACTTTGCGAAGCTGCGCAAGTTCGAGTAGCGTTTGTATTTCCGGATATGGCGTATCGATTCCGAACACGAGCGAAGGAACGTTTTGCCTGGAGGCAGTGAGTATCGTGACATAATAGACTTGATGACGAGATCTTCGCGGTGGTCCTTGAGAACTCCTTGACTTCCATCGCCCGTCTTATTTCCGTTTACGTCTGCCAGCGTGAGAGGGCCGCCGGAGGTGACTTACGGCAAGTGGCTTACGGCGGGAAAGCTTATAAGCGTCAATTGCTCAGCCAGCAAGATGCACGAGGGGGTGTACACACAAGATCTCGTGACTCGCTCCCTCATAAGCACGCCTGAGGCTGATGCGCTCGCAGACTGAGACTCGCCGATGTTACAGGATCAAAACGCAGCGAAAAAGCAGCCTGTCAAAGATACATCGATGTTCGAGATATGTCATCGGCGAAGCCTTCTCGAGAATCCTCGTGTAGTTTGAAATCTGTCGGACGGACGGCGAAATATGATTATCATGGCGATTAAGTATTCTGGCAGTCAAAACGTATTGTTTAGAGCTTGTGTGTTATCGAGGAAGTGGCGTCTTTGGGTTCGCGCACGTACAATTCGCCAGGCAGCTCCAGCAAGACGCGACAATTTGAGTGCTGGAGCATATGTCAGTGACAGCTTGAATGGAAGGCTGGGACGCGAAGTGCGGGAGCACTGTACCAGGATAAAGGCCCGAGTCAGAGCCACACCGTGAAGTAACCCCGGGTCTGCAATGTTTGTCCTCCTGGCCACATTCATAATCTGCCTGCTGTCGGGGGCGGTTTTCGCGATTCCAATCGCCGAGAATCCTGCGCATTTAACGGGCCTTTCGGTTGGTCTTCGTCTTGCCTGCTCCCTGAGCTTGGATGGCTGGGACTGATCGCTCGATACTAGACCAGGTGCACGTGTGCTGGAACGAACGGCACCGACGGCGCGCAGTTTCTCTGCGGCGACCATCGTCTGGGACCTGCCAAGCTGCCCCACCACTTCCCGTTCGACGCCATGCTAGCGAGCTACGATCGTTTTGGAGGACTGTGCCCTGACGCATGGCTCGCCAAATACACCAACAGCTCAACGGGCGCTTTTGTTTTCCCACCCGACGATGGATTCCAGCTCTCCAACACGGCCATGGCGATCGAGGGCAATCAGACACTGGTTCCGGGAATGTTGTTGGACCGATTCGGATTCGAGACCGGGATCTTCCTCGCGCCGGCTTTCACTCCGTATGGTCAGCGGGCACTGCCGCCCTCTAGCTTGGACAACCCCACCGGCGGACCGCGGGCAAACTATCATGTGTATCGGGTGAAACAGCAGTTCGTCGTTCTGACGGGGACGATCGCGGCGTGGTTCGAGCAGCCGGGACAAGGGACTCAGTATGTTGCGACAACCAGCGTAGCGGATCTAATCGCCGAGGGAGTTTTGGAGAGCGTGGACGTTAAGAAGTTGCACAAGTTCGAGTAGTGTCCGCTAGGTCGATGCGTGCCGCACTTGAAATGAATTCATTAGGTACGAGCTGTGAACTTCGATGCGCACATGGCATCGATGGACGCGGCTAGAGAAGGATGAAGTCACCAGCCGGCGGTCTATTTTGCCACCACCAGCGCCCCAGGTCAGCTGGGATTAGACACAGCTTTCTCGAGTTCTTGCTAGCTGGGAAGGAAGCCACGGGTGTCTCTTGTGAGAAAGTATCACAAGATCTTATCTTGCCCACTCCTCCCCCCATCGTGCCAATGAGTACGCTATCTCCCGACGTCGAGAAAGGCTTTAAGCTGGAGAGCAATACGATTGACAACGAAGGAGAGCATGATCGGAGAGCTCGACAGCGAGCGGACGGCCTACCAAGCAGTGACAAACAGCATTCCAGGGGCATTTCTCGTCTTTCGCTACACTCCACTCCCCCCGATACCAGTCCTGCGGCGGACAATTCAACCACCAGGATGGGTGCTGATGGTCGACTGCGTGCGCGGGCGTTTAACAGCTGGCTACAACAGCAAAGCGGATATCTCTTCCTCCTCGTCGTCTTTCTCGTCTTCCTGCGAGCTGGCTTGCATGCCGCTGCCCCCGCCTCGTCGTTGACTTCGATACCCGCGTCTTCCTCCTCATCCTCGTCCTCCAAGTCGATTGCGTCAAAAGCAAAGTCGTGGCTTTCGGGCGGGTCGATGAAGCACCCCATACCCTCGCTCATGGACGCCGCAGACGCGCGTTATCGCGCCAAGCTCTCGCGCCAGAGCCGCACGCTCTCTGAAGCCGTCGCCGAATACAAACGCCGCTACGGGCGCGCGCCGCCGCGGGGGTTCGACCAGTGGTACGCGTTCGCGGTGGAGCACGGGTTCGTGATGATCGACGAGTTTGATGGGGTGGAAGAGGACCTCAAACCGTTCTGGACTCTCTCGGGCGAGGAGCTGCGCCTGCGCGCATCTCTGGTGGGCGCGCTGCCGTCCATTGACCTAGTTCGCGTGGAATCGGGCAAAGCGAGGACGGTGAATATGGCCAAGGGATTCGAGGACAGTGAGGTCAGCGGACGCGCCAACGGGCTCAAGTCTATGATGAGCAAGTTTGTGGCCGAGGTCTGTCGCTCTCTAAGGGTGGTTCGTGTGTGTATGCGTGTCCCCTGACCTATCTACAGCTCCCTGACATGGACTTCCCTGTAAATGCCAAGGCCGAAGGGCGTGTTGTAGTTCCTTGGGAACACGTCGCGTACCCCAATCTTACAGCAGACCCGCTGCAGTCCGGTATGTCCTGTTTCGTATTCGAACGTCGTCGGAGCTCAGGATCTTCCAGCCTCGCACCTTTTGTCTGCAGCGAACTTCAAGGCCGACTGGGCAGGCGCTGGATCCGTGTGGGATGCCTGGAGACGAACGTGTTCGCCAGAATCTCCTGCTCGAAGGCTGTATTCGTCCATCGGCGCTGGGTGGAGTGGAGGCCAAGCCGGCAAGGATCGTCTTGCTGAAGCTTACTACCGGATGTTTGGCCGCGACGGCGTGCAAGGCATCCTCAACTGGGCAGGCGAATCTTCTGCGGCTGATCGTGGAAGTGGATTCGAGTTCATGGAGGGAACCAACGCCAAGTTCGACTTCTGCACGGCCCCAGGAGCGCATTTTGAACAAGGTATGCTTTTCATGTTTTGCTTACTAGTTCGGAGCTCATGCACAATTACCAGGACACTTCTTTTCTGACTGGCGCACCATCGCTGCGCTGGCCCCCGTCTTTTCGCCGGCTAGAGCTCGAGGTTTCGGAGATATCCGTATTCCCAGTCACTACTATTACGGGGGAACAAGACAGTACACCTATGCATGGGACCCCATCAACTTGGAACAACGGGTGATAGACCCGATGGAAGTTCCTTGGGAGAAGAAGCGGGATGCAGTTTGGTGGCGAGGCGCTAGCACTGGAGGTGGAAACAGCCCTGAAGGTTTTGGCAATGGCTTCCAAAGGCACCGGTAAGCTATGCCCAGGCAATCTCTGTCGTCGCTGACCGCCGTCAGATTTATACAGATGTCGTCCGTAGGCTACGTGCCAGGGAATCGTGTCGACTCTGAGCGATCCACTGAGGTGACATTCGCTCTTCCCCCGCTCAAGGTGCCAGTCAAAGGCAAGTTCTCGACGTCAGCTTGTGCGAATGTGTCTGACTATGAGCAGATTCGACTTCGAAGCAAGTGGGGTATACATATGAAGCCCCGGAATCAGAATGGACCACTTCCACTGCCACGTTGTCTGAATTGAATGTGGATGTTATGGATGCGGCATTCGTGAAGACTATTGTGCCCACTGGAAAGGAGCATCGCTTCGGAAACAGCGTAGAGCTCGGCGTCAGCTGGGGTTACAAGTGAACTGCGTCCAACTACCTTGCCCCACAGTGACTAATCCAGTTTCTTGCAGATACTTACTTGACATGGATGGCATGGGCTACAGCGGTCGCTTCATGGCCTTCATGGCGAGCGACAGTGTCCCCGTCAAGGCCACTGTTTACGACGAGTACTTTTCAGATTGGATAGAGCCCTGGTTTGTTCTTGCGCTTGCGGATGTTCTTGGAAGACTGACTATGATGACAGGGTGCACTTCATTCCCCTGTCCTCAACGTATTCTGAGATCTACAACATCGTCTCGTACTTTTCCGGCCCGCCGCCTGCAGCGTTGAGGGCAGCCAATGTTTCGTCTGAGCTCCAGTGGAATGGCGCCCCAGCTGTTCTGAGTGACCGTGGGGTCCAAGACGAAGATACCCTCACGTTCAACACATCGAAATCTGAGGTGGAGCACCGGATTGGGGCCAGTGACCCCAGACTCAGTCCGCCGGTTGGCAAGAACCCGATTTTACGGCGTGCGGCAGTCGAACGGAGGGAGGACCTACCTCAGCTACTGGCGCCTATACCCAAGAGTGCAGCGCAAGAGGAGGGCGATCGACGACTGCGGAGGATTGCGCGTGCTGGCAAGCAGTGGAAACAGACTGTTGGCCGAACCATTGACATGGAGGGTGTGTGATCTCACTGGCAACTTGAAATGTCTGAGCGCTCATGTTTTTTCCAGTATATGTATATCGGTTAGCTCTCGAGTACGGTCGTTTGTGGGCGGATGACCGGGAGGCCATGTCCTATAGAGGATAGATGCTGCCCGCGATTAGTCGCTGTGTTTGTAACATCATCTCGCTCTCGCCTCGCATGTCTGCTGTCGTCACCCTCATCTCTTAAACTCAAAACACCCTAAAATAGCATCGATATTCAATCCTGGATCCCATGGCATATACGATAGACACTCAAGATCATATATAATCAAACGGCGTTTTCCGAGTTTTGGGATTGGTCAGATCGACTGCAGCACGTGATGGCCTACAGAATCGTCGTGATGCTGTCGATGAAGGACTCTACCTTCCGATCCAGAGCTTCCGTCGCATTTTTCAAGTCCTCTGAGCCAATCAAATTCATCACGGAAGATGGCTGCTGGTAGAAGATCTTTGTCCCGTTCCCGTTCTCCAAGAGCAGTATCCTGACGGGCACGAAGTACGATGCCCGGAAGTCGTACTTGACCATCGTTTCGGCCACTACGGGGTTCCCGATCACGAACAGCTTGAACCTGGACGTCGGATTCTGGAAGAAGAGCTGGAACCAGGCCCCGTGGTCGTGCTCAGCGAAGTGGCTGAAAAAAACCGGGTCAGCAAGCGTCCTACGCCAAGCCAAGCCATCTCGGCGCGCACATCAGTCCGCTGGAGCCCACGGAACTGGCGACTCTCTCCTTCAAGACCGCCAGCGTCGGCGACTCGATCAGGTATGTGTCGCCGTCGAGGAACCCGACCATGGAATACAGCCGCGCGGAGACGTCATCGTAGGAAACCGGGGTGGTGACCTGGACGATCTCCATCATGTGCGGTGTCACGCTGCGCTGGACTGGATTGTGCGAGCGTGGCGCGGCCGGGATGGTGGTGGCCCCCTGTAATGATGCAAGAGGTGACGAGTCAGACGGGCGACGGAGTGGGATAACGGCCTGAGGCTTCCTACAGTGACTGCCGCACATGCCAGTAAGCATAGAGTCAGGAGTTTGCGCGGGATTGACATGAACCACAATCCAATCGAGGGAGTGTATCGAGGGGGTGAACTTCGGCTTGTCTCTCTCTGCCAAAAAGTGGATCCTCTTTTATTTTGCGACTTGGTGCCCTTCTCACGGCTGTAGAATCGCACCCTGTGGTGACGTGCTGGGATAGACAATCTCCACTGGTCTTCTATCATCCACTCCTGCGGTGCCAGGGCCCCGAATGTTTCGCCGGTGTGAACATCGAAGCCGTTCTATGAATCATCCCGGCGAGCGAACACGCATGATCATGAGCATGGCCGATCCCCCACCCGAGACTTGGCAGGGCTTGTCGGTTCCGGGACTGGTCGCAACTCAATCGGAAGAAGCTCGACGGGGGATTCGAGTCTCTGGTGTCTGGGCAATGGGCCAAGTGAATCACACCGGTGCGAGATATCGCTCCCGCAGTGGAGAACGATTACCGGGAAGAGCATAAGCCTCCCAGGCGCACAAGAGTATCTTGCGCCTATCGAAACTTTTATTACGAATGTGAGAATAATATCGCTTTTATCGCTGGCCTACCCCCGCCCGCTGATCGGAGAGAAGCGTATTCTGCGAAAAGTAGACACGTTGAAAAGGTCTTTTCAGTCACCGTACGACCTCTAAATCCGCCGGTTAACAACTGAGATTACATAAAACACTACGTCTAGGTGACCAATGTGGATGGAAGTATTTCTTCGTCAACCTGGTGACAGAATGTCATATCCGGGATGGACATGCAATGATCAAGCAACAAAGTCTGGGTTCTCGCAACCGCTCGTTGGAAAGTGCTATCAGGATATGACAGCCGAATCTTCGTTGACATCACTACTTATCTATAGGTACATGATGCAAATTGCTATCCTGTCCGTCTTGTAAAACTCATCATCCCAACAAAACAAGTCACGTTCCGGCATTTCGGCAAAACAAAGCAGTGCGACCACAACACGGACATTTGCCGATCACAAAGTCTAGGTTCTGGAGGGAAGAGTATTGAGCAGTGGTGATGGGGAGCAATCTAGTACTACTGTCAGCGACACTACTAGTACCGTGGTCTTCTGAGTCTTTTTACCACAAAAAGATGCCTTTCAGCTGAACACAACTTCCCCTTCATGGGTAAATTGGTCAGTTAAGCGCGGGATAGTATTCCCCACTCCCACCCACTGCAGGCGGGGACCGTGCGCCCCGAGCGGGGCTGACAAGTCAGACGCCTTCTGAGCGTGTCTTGGCCCGGACATCACGGACCAACACGTGTGAAAATTTGACTAACAGGTGCGCGTGTCGGACGGCATCATGATGTTCATCAGGTGCATAAGCTCGCTGCAACAACTAGAGCCCTCGTATCGAGGTTACATATGACCGAATATCTTCGCCCACTTGGAGGACTTGACCTGAAGACTTCTAGTCCATTACCAACGATTCACGTACAACGTTTTACCGGGTCAGAATACCGAAGTTGCCGGACGTCCTAAATGGGGAGAGCTGATTCATCTGGGAAGATTGATGCATGCTTCAATTGATTTCGTACTTGACGCATGAAAGAAAGCTAGAGGGTGGTATGGGCTTGCCTATACTATCCTCAGTTTGGATCAAAATTCACGCAGGAGCACATGGAACTAAGGATTAGATATGGGGTGTCGTTGAACATGTGGATCTTGGCAACTTGATAAAATTATTGATAAGATAACCAACCACGTTAACGGGATCATAAAAATCGCTTGCACATTTACATAACGATGGAAACACCAGGAAAGTGTACACACAACAGCAAACTTAAAATTTCGACATTCTATAGAATTGCCGATGACATCCAAAATGCTGACGCTGAGATTCAGACTCATCTCTTGGAGCAAGGAAAGAAACGATTTCTCATCCTACCATTTCAAACGACGGCCGTAATGTTGCTTACCAGCGCTGCCAACCTTTGATCCAAGACTGCCGCGGCAGCGGTCAAATTGGCTGGTCCGTGCAAATCAATAACGGAGGATGGTAGATGATACACAATCTTGGTCCCATTCCCGTTCTGCACGACCAGCAGACGGGGCGGCACGTTGTAGCCGGCGCGCAGGTCAAATTTGATCATCGTTTCGGCGATGAACGGGTTGCCAATAACATAGAGCTTGAACCGTGGGGTCGGATTCGCGTTGAACAGTTGGAACCAGGCGCCGTGATCGATTTCGCTAAAGTGCCTAGAAAACAGCGCGGTTGAGTGGCGGGCACTTCTGAACGAAGGAAATATGAATGGGCGACATACATGAAGCCACTGGTGCCAAGCACGGCCCCAACTCTCGCCTCGAGCTCGGCCAGAGACGTTGCACCGATAAGAACATATGCGGAATTCACCGGGCCAAGAAGCGAGTAAAGACGCGAGGTGACTTCGTCGTACGAGACCGGCGTGAACACTTGGACGAGCTGCATTGTGTGCGGGATAATCGTCCTTTGGACTGCATTGTGTGACACCGACGCCGATGCATCGTTTCCCTGCAGCGAAGACGGTGAGTAGGGACTCGGTGTTGGACTTGGCAACACTTACGACTGCGAGAACGTTGCTGGAACAGAACGCGAAGAAGAGGGCAAGGCGAGCTGAGATCAAGAAGAGGTTGAACATCCTGTATGAGGGACCAACTGAAGATGGAGACTGCTCAGATGCGCGTTCTTATATTTTTTTCTTTGGAGAGGGAAGCCTTGTTATGGATTCCAAATTACGTTGAAATCATAACACAAGAAGCTCTGGGTGCATTCTGGTAATTCTCAAGACGCCGTGACTTGTGGTTTTGCGATAAACTGTGTTGTTGGTCATTCACCCTGACCAATATGGCCCGGCTCAGTCAGCGATCCTGACGAGCGTAATCATACACCGAGCTGCTTTCATGGATTCCATTCAATCCTTTAGCATCGCAGTTACGATATTTTGTGATCTCCGTAGATTAGAGGACCGGTGCCATGCGATGAGATGATTTTTATAGAATGAATTAGTCGAAAATTCCGAGTTTACATCTATAAATTAACTCGTCTTGCATGGTTATGATTTCAGACTGTCAGCGACCTCCCAACACAAGACGCTATCCGTCCAACGATAGTTGCATGGCACGTGACAAATCGGAGTCGGTTCGAACAACACCCGAGCAGCCAAACCACCTTGGAGACCGGTTATCTGCCGTACTATTGCTCAAATTGGGTTAATTCAGGCACAATGGGTTGATTGATCCATTCTATAGCTCTTTGAACAATACGAGTTCTTCTGTTTCCTCTTTGTGTTTCTTTTCTCTGAGGTTGAATCCAATATATTTCAAATCACAGTGTGTAACAACAACAGGGAATTCAAGCAGATAGCAAAATAGCACTGGTAAGTTGTCAGTTGCACCCAAATGATGGTAAGACTCTATATTGTATTGTACCTGTAGACAAATAGCACCAGTAAGTCTACAATTTACAATCAGTATCTACAGTCAACTCTTTGTTAAGTCATACTGTTCGTGGACAAAGAATTGTATGGGTTACAATAGAGTATGGGTTCAGAGAGGGAGCGGTTCATATCAGCTTGTAAAATGATTTTAAAATTGCATAAAATGTCCAAAGTATTCCACAACTCCATGGAGCCAAGTACTGCATGATATCTGTGCTCTTCATCTTTGAAACACATTCAAGTGGAATCTCTTGGCCCAATCTAGCAAGTTGGCATTCAAGTTCCCATGTGAATGAGGAATCCATGTTGATAAGAAACTGCTGGAGTATGTTGACTGCAAAAAGAGCTTCCTGATGAGATGGCTTTGAAATGCTACACTGTGTGAACTTAGTGATGGGAGTTCAGCATTGTGAGATATTTGGTCCCAATTACCTACACAGTCCATCTTGATTGTTTTCTGTCTGCTCAGTCTTACCATCATCTTGGGTGCAACTGAGGACTTATAGCCTTTTGTTGTCTACAGGCTTCAGTAATGTGACAACCAAGGAAAGAATAAAGTCGAAAAGAGAAGTCAATTCCAAGACTGGAGAATACAACTATGAGAAGATATAGTATTTGGTCTGGTAAGATGAGAGAGAGAATAGGATGAGTATTGTAATGAGATCTAGAATAAATACACACCTGGTACAATGAGAGAGAGAGAATAGGAGCTCTCATTGTCCAGGACATAGCTATCAATCAAATACATCTTATTGAATCTGGATAAGATACAAGATCAGGTCAGAGAGGCATCATTGATTGCTAACACCCCCCCTTGACCTGCATCAAGTCAAAGCATCATAACCCAGCGCAGGTGCATAACAGCATTGAGGGGCTTTGTGAATAAGTCGGTAATATTGGACCTGCCAGCAATTAGTTTCTTCAGGACGCAATCACAAATAAAATGCTCGCAAAGAGCAATATGTTTCATCTCCAAATGAGCGTGTGGATCATGGGTACACGCATCTCAGGTGCATCTGTTACAGATGACACCCCCCCTCTAAGGCCCTTGGAAGTGGTCAAAATCGGGGCCTAACAGGCCCCATCATGTCCGGATGGGTCTGCGCTTCTGCAATCAACATAGTGACATGAGCTTCTAATACCTTCCTAATCCAGTAGCTTGCCATCAATTTTACTGTTATATTCCTCTCTTCAAAACCTCAATGGCTCCTTGCAAGCGTGCCGCTGCTCAGCTGCCCTTTGGTGTACCTAGCACCAGCCCCATGAAACGGAAGGCTGCTAGGGAGGTGGTTGACATACACCCACATAAGTGCACTCAGGCGGTGCATCTGCAAGCACGGCTTAATGCACTGCTTGCCAGGAAACCACTCCCCTTGATTTCCAGCCCTTCCCAGACACTAGAAGAGGATAATCCCTACTTCTCCGAGCCTCCTGAGCCGCCACAGACACTTCCTGATCATTCTGGGGATCCTAGCCAGCACTCAGAAGATGCATCTGTTCAGCATTTGGTCTCAAACAAAAATCTTGACAAGCCAATGCCTGCAGTCAATGAGCGTGCTGTACAGTGATAGGCTGGCTACCAGACGCGCTCTGCACCAGCTCTATAAGGGCGTATTTTTGTGCTTTTACAGAGTTTACTCTCGAACCATTTGGTGTACCGTGTCACAGTTGGCAGTGTTGCGCTCAGTAGGACTTAAGGGTCTACTGCCCAGTCAACAACTGCAGATAGTGTTGACGATAGCAAGGCAGTCAGACCACTACTGTGGAATTGGTCTTATGAGTCTACACCAGGCTCAGGGCTATTAGTGACGGACACTCAGACTGCGACAATTCCCCAAAAGGGATACTTTGTTGCGGCAACTCCTCAAAAGGGTCATTCTCTGCAGATGGGAACTCAGGCTGAAGGGCTTAGCAATGCACGATGTTCTCAACATTACAACTACTACTGGACAGGACTTGGCGTTACGAGATTGAATCAATCTTGTCGCGGCAACTCCCAGCTTTGGGTTGGACGTTTCCTTAGATCATGCCATGGCAATGACTTGTCACATGTCATGTTCCACTCAATCACGGGATATTGTGGACGCGTCACGGTGACACTTCCAAGTGTCACGGCGAGTCGCGCCCATACCCAAACACATCAAAAGCAACACGGACTAGATCCGTGAACCGAACCATGGAAGGAACGTCTGGCGTGCCAAGGGCCATACAGCTTCTTGGGACGCCCACATTGGACTCACTTGCCAAGACATACCAGTTGGCCAATCCAGCACGTCGTATTCCAAAGGTATGACACGGTGGGTTGACCCACATCAAAAGCACCATATTGACAATGGGGTGGGGTCCTGATCAGTCAGGACCTGTCTGATCATTCAACTTTTTCATTACCATAAAAAGCAACTGATCTTAGATAGCGTAGCTGCTATGCAGTTGTACAGGACTTTACTAAGCACCATCATAGACAGTATAAGTAGCATGTTGTTTCTTTGTATTTGGGAGCTTTCCCCCAGACTGTGAATCATACCCATATCAGATTGTTTTGTACAATTTGCGTGTTGCGTGATTCCGCCCTAAGAAGTTCTATTATCCCTGCCTGGTTGCGACGAGTTGCTCCCTGAGCACTTGTAGCTACTGTGATTTGAGTTTGAGTTTTGAGACATCAGAAAGTCGGATTTGCCGCATCTGGTTTAGTCGCGGCATTTAGTGTCGTCGCCCTTTGGGCTTTGTTGAGATCGTTCCACACCTCTAGCTTGGCAGTGCGTCGACTAGTTGTGCT